TTTTTTTTTTTTTTTTTTTTTTTTTTTTTTTTTTTTTTTGTTTTTGAGGTTGTAAGGCATATAGTCTAGTGTTGACAATTCTTGAAAACTTGATGAAGATAAGAGAGTTTCAGAAAACTTATTGCACAGAATTAATTCATGGGGTGAGATTTGAGCTCACGTTGCTTGATGTTTTAAACAAGGATCAATATTAACACTATACTTCTTCTGGTGTTTTTAAAAGACCTATTCAGACAACTATTGATTTCTCATTCAGAACATAAAAGGGCAGCCCGGTGCAAAAAGCATCCCGCATTTATGCAGGGTTCGGGGAAGAGCCGCACCCTAAGGGGCGTGAAGTAGACAGCCTACCCTAATGTGCAAGTATTATTGGCTGCTTCCACAGTTCGAACCTGTGACCTAGGTCACACGGAGACAACTTTACCGTTGGGTTCCCCTTCATCCTCAATCAGAACATGTTAGTCGGAAAAAACAAATCATATATTTGAGCATATGATTACAGGTTTACTCCATAGTAAAACCAAATACTTACATGCACAATCTTGTAAGTGTACTTCAGAGCAAAACAACACATATATTTGAGCATAAGATCACTTATATGCTCACAAATTTATACAACCATATCAACTAATTAGTCACTGAGATATCTTTTGATAGTGACGACAAAGGGAAACTCCGGTGGCTCGCCTACTTTAGGCAAAAATCAAATACCTGCCTCTATACCATGTGACTTTAAAGTAAATGGAAGCTTATTTTCCAATGGAGTAAATGGCAGGTAACTGAGCCGCTCGGTTCCCTTCACTGACTGCAAACAAGCTAGGTGTCCATTCGACTGGTTATTGAACCTCGGCAGCTCACTTACTGGTGTGATTGCCTCCTGTTCTTTGGGCACTGGAGCACCAGACATATCCTAGTTACACACAAAAAAGATTTAATTCCAGTATTAGAAATCCGTTGCCGTTTTCGTACATGTAAATGATATCAAAGAATTGTGATCACAGTAGTGGTGTGGATGTCATACTTACCAGGAAATTGAGTTCTTGATTGTCAGCACCAAGATATATCTCAATCAGCTTGCGCAAATCAGCTAAAGTTGAACCTTTAACAACCTTTAGTGTGGTGATTAACTCAGGATTTTCCTTTAACGACGCAGCTTCCCATTTCACATGCACTTCCAGATCAGCAGCGCCTATGCTTTCAAATGTCGGGTTGAAGTTCTCCTTTGAATCATTATGACATTTTCTTAAAGGTGAATCCTCTCCAATTTCCTTAACTGGAGGTGATTTCGATTGAGCGCCTTTAACTTTCTTTTCTGCAGGAAACGGTGTTCTACACTGCTGAGAAAGTTCTCTAGAATTTCCACAAAGTTTGAATATATTCTGAATTAGCTCTTTTCTCGACGGGGCTGCATCACTAGAAAGATCATCAGAACATATTGTCTTTTCCTCAATAACCTCTTTTTGCACCTCCTCAACATGAGGATTCTCTTTGTCCCCCTCACTAACGTCGCTTTCATCTTCTTCTTCATCCTCGAACACAGTGTACAAACACGATTTGTTGGTAAAATGTTGCAATAAGATAGAAGGATCTTCAACTTCTCTTGGATTATAGACCACTGTGTCCCGCTTTCCTGAGTCCATGTCAATAGATCTGTCCAAGTCCATAGATTTCACCATTCCTGCGTCTTCAGAGTAAATATCCAGCAGCGTTTTCGCGAAACTATTCTCCTCCTCCACTTCTGTCGATCTGTTGTCATCAACCCTTGAATGCCAAAGCTCAGCCTCAATCTCCTCCAAGCGCCTCCTGAGCATTTCAAACTCTTGTTGCTGTTCGAACATTCTTTCTTCCATCTTCCTCCTTTCCATCTCTACAAATTCATTTGCCGTTTTCTGACATTGTTGTATCTTCTTTTCGAATTCATGTTTCAACATCAGAGTTCGCTCGTTAACTTTAACAATGATATCCTCATCAGTTTTCTCCACTCCCCCTTGTACTACTGCTAATTCATGCTTAGACCTTAGTGTAGCAATTTCTTCTTCTTTCTTCATAATCTTTCTCTTTGCTTCATTACACTCTTTCTCTTTGAGTTTGTTCTCCATTTGCAGCTTGCAAATGAACTGATCCATAGCTGCAATTCTCGACACCAGAACAACTGCGGATGAGGAATCTTCTGCGCCTTTCTCTTTCAACGGCGTATGAGGGCCACGGACAATACATTTCGCTTTGGCTCCATACTCTAGAGTAGAGATGGTTTTGTGGAGCTCTTTAGGATCCGGGCTCGCACACAGTATCATGAGAATTTTGGCCTTGTCATCCTCAAAAGAATCCTACATCAAATATAGTTGAATCAGCTTCTTACAACGATTATTATAACTTTAAAAACCTAACTGCCAAACTATATGTAGCATACACGAGATATAGCTGTAAAGACGGAATGACCATAGTTAACTTGCTATCTCTGAACGGCACATGAAAATTACCATTAGCAGAAATTAACTTAAATAGCTGGAGAATGTGTATATTATGTATAATTAATGTATAATATATGTATATTGGCTAAATAACGTAAATATTTCTGGCCAAGCGGTCAAATGTGTAACTTCCCCAAAGGCCTTTTAACGCATTTGGCACATAGGCCGAAAATAATTACAACCGCTAGCCAAATATATGCCGATTATATATTATATATACTACAACAACAACCCAATATAATCACACTAGTGGGGTATGGGAAGGGTAGCTTGTACGCAGACCTTACCCCTACCTTGGGGTAGAGAGGCTGTTTCCAATAGACCCTCGGCTCCCTCCCTCCAAGAACTCCCCACCTTG